TCAGGGTGACGGAGCAGTTGGAGCCTATCACATGACAAAGCATATCACACCCTGGACAGGTCACTAATCTTTGACTTGCCAACACATAGCTGCAGATTTGAATCCAGGACCTTCTTGATATGAGGCGACAGCGCTCACCACTGTCTGACCCCAATGCTATACAAGCTTGCCTTAAACAATAAGCATGGTTGCTTTTGTGACTGATGCATGCATATGGGCCCACATCAAACAGCAGTGGCCAGATCTCCCCCAGAGGCTGACTGCCTGAGAGGCATGCTTGGCATACCTTAATGAGAAGGTTCTTTCTTTCAAATGCCAAAATACTTGGTGTTAAACTATCTATATCTCAAACTAACCACAATACGATAAGATAATATCTAATTGTAATTCATAAAATGAAGCATTTGGACGGTAACTAAACAACAACAATAACTACGGTCGCTTTTCTGCATTGCACTTGGTAAAAATAAATACGAGGAGTCCTTGAAAGCAGCCTAATCGTATTGATTGGCGTGCAGCTGGACCAACTAGTAAAAATCTCACACTGTTTCTTAAAAATCCCAGACCAATCATCGAGGAGAACAGACCGATTAGCCCCACCCAGTGACACACCTCTCCTGCTGTAAAGATTACACATCTACAGCCGTAACTGCGAGCGGTGACATCTGAAGTCCGTTAAAATGCCATAAACAGAGGGAGACTTTTCACATGAGCAGAGGAGGGGCCACCGGTCTGAACACCTTTGAGGTCAAACTTCAAATTCAAAAGTTATCGTATTATTGCTAAGACTCGGAGTTCATTGGCCCTGGCTTGGATGGGAAGTCAGACTCCGCTCTCTTTGTGCTGAATCACATTTCTTCAAAGGGGGAAACTGAAATCCTTTCCCTTTAGTTGAGTCAAACAAACAAGAAGATCTGTTGCCAGTCTTCCTCAATTTCTTTCTCCCTTTCTTCACATATACACAGAGCCTTCTTTCTTTCTATATGTTATTTATCTTGATCTATTTATGGAGGTACAGTTTTCTCTGACATCCTCTACATTCAGGTTTCTGCTTCACTGTTTTAAATAATCTATGCAAAGTGAATGCACCACAGTGCCACTACACTGTCATAGTTGTTGGCAGCGTTTATACTGGCACATCAAATCTACACTACAGCCTTTCCAAATACTCATCCCCCTCATTACCCATGCCTCATGTACCAAAGATGTGAACAGAACAAAACTGATGAGTTTGCCAGTGACACGCTCACGTCTGCACTACAGCAAGTTGCTTTTCCCTTTTCCAACACGCTTGCGAGCTCACTGTGTCACACCGCCAGACAGATGCTGCTTTATCTATACATTTTGATTAAATTAGAATTCCTAGTGTGAGGTTCTGGGACTATCTCAATACTGATCAGCATAAACATTTCTCCCTCTCTCTGCACCAGCACTGATGACAATCACTTTTATGTTATGAAACAGAGCCTGCACACAGTTGCATGCACTGTAAACCTATTCAGTGCAAAGAGGAGCTTATGACTATGTGCGAGTGTGTGTGTGTGTGTGTGTGTTGGTGCCTGGGGGCCAGGTGGTGGTGGTTGGGGCTGCTGGATTCCATGCAAGATTATGAGGATAGCTAAAATCCTCCTAGATCTGCTGGTTACCAGCCACTAGCCGCCACAACTGGAACAACATAACACAGCAGTAAGGGTGGTGCATACAAACACACACTGGTGAACCAGAGACCACGCCATAATTGGCTTGCACTGTTTTCCTAAGCGTTTGTTTAAGTCCTTTCACTCCTTTTCCGACCTGTTTACAGTTTTCAAATCCGCTCTGGGTGATTCTTTCCCCTGCACTGCCTCCTCTTCAGCGCTTCCAGGGTAAAAAAGAACATTTCATAACCATCCTCTGTGGGTTATAAGACCCTGAAGATATTTTGCCACACTGCAGCATAATCCCTATATTTAGGGAGGTATACAATCAAAATAATTACATAAGCGGCATTAAAATACAATTGTTCAAGTCGCCTTTGGGTTTTTTCAGTCACGGTGAAGTCAGCACCAGCTCAGATTTAACACTTTGCTTTTTCGTGACCCACACACATTCATGCGCATCATCCTCATTACGGGAGCTTATGGTAATGTCCTGGGCTGAAAAGATAAAGATGAGTCATGACTTTCTTTTTGCAGCAATCTTTTTGTGGCTATTTTCAAATGTCGAATGGGCAATATAAACTGGAAATCAGCCGTGATACAGTGGAACATGATATAAAAGACTTTCCCAGAGTTACCATATACCTGTACAGTGCTGTGAAAAAGCGGAAAAACTAATTCTGCCTTGAGAAATTCAGTGTGCCAGACCTGCTGAATCAAGAAATCACTTAAATAGAAGCTGTCTGACAAAGTGAAGTAGGCTAAAAGATCTCAAAAATCAACACATTGCGCCAAAATCTCAAGTCATTGGCATCTGTCAGTCTGGGAAGGGTTACAAAGCAATTTCTAAGGCAGTGAACCACAGTAAGAGTGCATCGACGACTCATCCAGGAGTTCACAAAAAACCCAGAACAACATTTAAAGTACCTCACACTTCACTCGTCTCAGTTAAGGTCATGTTCATGATTCAGGATAAGAAAGTAAGCAATTGGGCAAAAATGGCATTGTGAGAGAGCTCCAAGGAGAAAACCACTGCTGACCAAAAGCAACACAAAGGCTCGTCTCACATTTGCCAAAAAACATTTTGATGATCTCCAAGACTTTGGGGAAAATATTGTGAAGAATGATGACACAAAAGTTAAACCTTTCGGAAGGTTTGAGTCCCATTGCATCTGGTGTAAAACTAACACGGCACATTTGCAGTTCTTGCTGGGAACGGTGGCACAACCAGTTTTTGGTTTTAGGGCCCAATTACTTTATGACACAGGGCCAGGTAGGTTTGGTTCACTTTTTTTCCTTAATAAATGAAATCATAATTTAAAAACTGATTTTTGTATCTACTCAGGTTATTTTTGTTTAATATTAAAACTTATTTGATGGCCTGAAACACAAAAGTGTGACAAATATGCAAAAAAAAAACCAACCCTTAGAAATCAAGAAGAGCTTGAAGCTAAATACTTTTTATATTCACTATACTGTGTCAAACGCAGTAATTAATATTATATAAAAGACAAAGTTAAAACCAAAATGCATTTAATGCCAGTGAAGTCCACACTTCTTGAACATCACATCTCCTCTGGTGAAAAAGACTGAAAAAGCACAAAGCTGAAACGGAGATGGAAGATGAAACTGCACCCTGATGTACTCTCCATCTTTATTCTTACACTTTGATGTGTCTATAATCCCTCACATTCTATATTTGGCTTTGAAGCTCCATAAGCTAATCCCCCCCCTTTTTTTTAAACCGTAACAAAACTGCTTGAATTGGCCAGGATTACGCAAACGCACATTTGACGACTCACTGGCTGGCACAGAAAGAGATGCGCTGTGAAAATAAGAAGTCGGGCCGTTGTATTATATATATAGTAGTTGAAATTTTGCTTTCTTACATGCGCTTCACTTCAACTGGAAGCACCTAGATTTCCATGGATGTTTAACGGTGCCTGTGTTTTATGCAGATGTGCAACAGAGGAGCTGCATATGTGCTTTAGATTTATGTGTGTCAGCTGCAGTGGCACACAGCAGAGCGGGCCCTTTGCCAGTTCTTGGCAGTGCAAAACTCCCACAGTGATTTGTCTCACCATCCGAATGAGCGTGACCGATAGAGGTAATGTAAGAATGTGTTTACTCTCAGCAGAGCAATGTTAAAAACACTTGATTTTACTGCAAGGCCTGATTTTGATCATGTGTTTATTACATAAGTAAGAACTTTTATGGCTTAAAAAAACGAATAAAAAATGAAAGCGCGCTGAAGTGCCAAAAATTGCAGTTCCTCGAATGCTACCCGAGGGTGTCTCTTAAACTGAGTCAGTTCCTTTAGAGTTCCAAGTGTTCAGTTTTACAGGATGTATAAACATGTTTGGAGCAAAAACAAATGCCTTTGCTCACTACTGATTAGTCCATAACAGGGGCACAGGAGTGAAGTTTTATTGCTCACTTATTTAAATTTTATCAAAGCTTAGAGTCTGCATCATTAGGGTGTGACCACTAATCATTTACTAGGCAGTAAGCATATCAGCTAATTCAGTTCACTGCGTATGAGGCGTA